CCACTCCCAATTCCTCCACTCCTTCCCCCGCCCACGCCAACCGCGCACGCGCGCGCGCGCACTGGACCGATAAAACGCTGGGGGGGGGGAAACCGCTTACCCCGCCCCCACCCCACCCTGGGGGGCCTCAGGTTTGTGGGGCGAACGTATAACTAGGGCGGGAGGGGTGGCGGCGGAGGTGGCCGGACGCCACTGCCCCACCCCCCAGCGGGGTGAGGTGGTTCCAGGCCGGGAAGCGGGGGCCCCGGCCGTGTCCCCCTTTCCTGGGGGAAGTTGGTGGAGTTGTCCCGGCTGAGCACTCGACGCAGAAACTTCCTCCGTCCTCCCCCTTCCTTTCCCCCCCCCCTCCATGCAGGCGACGCCGAGCGAGGCGGAGGCCGGGGGCCAATCGCCGCGGAGCTGCGTGTCGGTCGCGCGCTCTGATTGGACAGCGGGGAAGCCCGTCAGTTTATTGGCCCCACTGATCCCGCCCCGGAGCTCAGGGCAGCCTTTACCCTTTGGCCCCAGCGGGCGCCAGCCACTCAGATCGCTTCTTGTTGGTATGTGTAGCGGCAGTGGCCGCCGACGGAGCAGTCTGAGCCCGACGATGAGGCCGGGGACTGGAGCCGAGCGTGGAGGCCTCATGGTGAGTGAAATGGAGAGCCAACCTCCCTCGCGGGGTCCCGGGGACGGGGAGCGGAGATTGTCCGGCTCAAACCTGTGCTCCAGTTCTTGGGTCTCTGCTGACGGCTTCCTGAGGAGACGGCCCTCGGTAAGGGATCGGCTGGGTAGGGGAAAGCGGCACAATGAAAAACCGAGTCAGAGAAACAGGAAGCTTTCTCCAAACGGAGACGAGTGTACCAGGAAGAGCTCCAGATGGTGGGCTCCGTCCCAGGGGAGAGAGGGATGGAGGGCGGGAATGCACAAAGACGGATGTGGGACCTTGGACGTTCCAGTGGTCTGGGCCTAGACGGGCACCGGAGGAAGGTGCCGGGACCCGGGCGGGCTGTGCTGCTGAGAGCCCCAGGCCTGAGTGATAGCGGGGAGCCTTAAGTCTGTAGGACTTCAGAGAGAAGCTGCCATAGTTGGTTTGCTCCGGGAGCCGTGGTGGGGGTTTGCAGGGGTGGGGGGGTTCTGTCGGGAGAATTGGCAGCGGATACTTAGTTTCAGGCCAGGAACAATGGACATGTATGTATGTATGTATGTATGTATGTATGAATGAATGAATATGTATGTGTATGTAATATTTTAAGTTCGCTAAACGGGTTTGTTATTTGCATTTAGTTTCTGGGACAGAATGACAGCCTTTGTTTGATATTTTACCTATATTAAAATATTTGACTTAGGAACTAGTGTATTTATTTCTAAATGAAGTACTCTTCAGTACCCACATTCTGTTTTATGACAAAACCTCATCCAAATGAATGTAATTTTAACTAATAGAAGCTGGTTATATGTATAAAGGGGACAAAGTTGTGTTCACCGTAACAATTTTTAAGTTGGAATTCAATACATAGCCACCAAGTCTGGGCAGTCATTTAGCAGTTGATTAAATCATTGGGTGGGGAGGGGGCTGTAATCTGATAATGGATTTAACTTTTCCCTGTTTTGTTAATTTTCAGGCTCCTTAAAACAACCACTATAGTGTATTTTGTTTTAAGATTAATATTAGTGCCCGGCGGTGGTGGCGCACGCCTTTAATTCCAGCACCTGGGAGGCAGAGCCAGGCAGATCTCTGTGAGTTCGAGGCCAGCCTGGTCTACAGAGCGAGAACCAGGACAGTCACGAAAACTGCACAGAGAAACCCTGTCTTGAAAACTCAAAAAAGAAAAAAAAGATTAATATTAATATATGCTAATCTAATAATATAATCACAGTTTGACTTAATATTGTGCCTTACAGGTCAATTGATTTTTTTTTTTTTAAGTCACATTTTTGAGAAACATTTACTGTGTCTTGCTCACTTTACATTTTTCATTACTTTTCAGATGGGGCATCCTGGCATGCATTACGCACCAATGGGAATGCACCCTATGGGTCAGAGAGCAAACATGCCTCCTGTACCTCACGGAATGATGCCGCAGATGATGCCCCCTATGGGAGGGCCTCCAATGGGACAAGTAAGAATATGCTTTTTACTTTGTTTTGCTTATTTTTGCTTTACTGTGTCAAAACTTTAAAATGTAGGTCAGTGCTGTACTTTCGGCTGTTTAACGATTAGTTTATATCCACATTTTCAAACAAGACAAATATTGATCATGACTGTAACCAGATTTTGAATGTAGTAAAAAAAAATTTACTGACTTCCTTAACAAAATTAAGATTTAAGAATCTTTAAGCTGGGCGTGGCAGCACATGCCTTTGATCCCAGCACTGGGGAGGCAGAGGCAGGTGATCTGTGTGCTGAAGGCCAGCCTGGTCTACAGAGTGAGTTCCAGGACAGCCAAGGTGACACAGAGAAACCCTGTCTTGAAAAACAAAAACAAAATCTTTAAAGTGACATTATACATCTAGGCTCTTTGACTTAATGACTTTTTCCAGGCATGTTGATACTTAATGGTCTAGGAGTAAATATATATATATAAAATAATTTTGGTGAACTGTATAAATGCGTAGCATCAGAAAAATAGCAATTACTTGGGATTTTCATTTAGAATGGATTTTATTCTTGGAATATCTTCTTCTTGTTGGGTGTGAAGGGATTCTCTGCTCTACTACTAATTCTTCCCTGTACAGTGACAAATAGATAGCTCATTTTCTACTTAATTTTTAAAATGATTATTGCTTCAGCACTCCTACTTTTGAGTTGCCCCTTGCATCCCTAGCACAAATTGTAAGTGGACATTTTGTGGGAGTGATTTGGATCAAAAGATTTTAGCTGACTCAGTGACACTGGTAGACAGAATTTCTCTTTCTATGTTAGAAGTGTTCCAGAAAGGCCAGAGCTTCAGTTTCATGAACAGTTGTGTCCTATGGAAGGTTCTATAATACACAGATCCTTGGGCAGGCTGGGTTATTCATTTGAATGTCTTGATAAGTTGGGAAAAATTTCAGTTAGCAAAATATTTTGGAAAGCCAGTTGTATATTTTCTTTTGCTAATGAGTGCTGTTGACTTTGATAATAATGGTTTAAGCAATGAAGACTAAAGTTATTGGTGAAATTGCAGTGGAAACAGGAACCTGTTGTGTTTCTCTTTTTATTTTACCTTAAAAGTAGAGTGGCTCAATGTCAAGTGGTTTTCTTTTATATTTGGAATATAGCCCTTAATTTTGTATAAATTTTTTATTCAAAGGCACCAGACTGAAAAGATTCTGCCTGCAGGAGTTCCTTATATAAAAGATTCTTTTGCTCTGTTACTCTAGAATAACAGTACTTTAAGCTCCCTAGGAGATGCAGAGACAACTCTGATCCTTCTTCTGTACCTTTCCATCTCTAAGCAGCACAGAGCCCTTCTTGTTTTCTTGGTAGAGCTGCTCTTAACTAGATAATGAGCTTTTAAAAAATATTTATTCTTTAAATGCTCTGGTTCTTATTTAAAATTAGTTTCTTTCCACAGAAAGATAAAATAAAACAATTTGCTACTGCCAGATGCTTCTCTCTTTTCTGGGGCCTTCTGTTTCCATTGGGCCAATCAAGGTAAGTTTTGCAAGGGGTTGACCTGCTTACCCTTGCTGTAATGGTGCTGTTGCACTAGCAAACCTGAGATGCCAGCTAGTCATTTTCAGTACAATGCAGATTTTATTTTTGAAGTAATTGGCATAAGCTGGTCACAGTTTGCTTTATGGCCCTTTCTCTTTAGCTGTGCCAGTGACTGCCTTCCTAGTGAGTTGACTTGCTACTCAGTATACTTCAGATATTCTGAATTTTGCTTCATGGTTTTCTACTACTTTTTTTCTAGTCCAATGTTTATGCGTCATAAAGTACACCTGACTATTTAAATGTTTAGAATTCTTTCTCCCTCAGTTGGTCCCGGTGAGGATAATGAATGAATAGGGTACTAGCCCTGAAAGTCTCAAGAGAATAGGCATTGTTTTCTCAAAATTAGACCATTTTCTAGTACCCCTGTTTTTACCTAACAAATACGGGTCCTTACTTTTAGTCAAGCTAGTTAACCTTTTTTCAGCATTATGAAGCTGGGAAAGCATGATATACTGAATCCTCAAGGATTCTAGGACTCTTTCTTAAAGCTCTGTGAACTTTCTCTTAATGATGAACTGATCATTTTCCTACATCATTTCTTCTGTTTATATATGCTCAGAATTATTAATGAATAATAATTATAATGAAGATAATTGAGAAGTAGGGTGCCTGTATCATTGATGGCAGTGAATATATGGTTTTGCCATCCATCTTTTTAAAAAAAGTTTACTAAAAACTTTATAGAGTTTGGGACTGAAGGCTATATAATCTTCAAAAATAGTTGACTCTTTATAACTTCAGGGTTCCTCATCCACTGTTTCAACTAACTATAGTGCATGAAAAATAAATTATGTTTTTCCAGAACACAGACTTTGCTTTGTCGTATTCCCACATGAAACATCTATGTAGTTACCTATGTATAGAGCATGTATATCGTATTAGGTGTTATAAGTAATCTAGAGATGATTTAAATTATACAAGATGTCCATAGGTTATGTGCATATATTACGGCATTTTTTTATGAAAGAGACTTGCCATCTGGATTTTGATATGTACCAAGGTACTGAACAGGTCAGTCTTCTGTCAGTTATCTGCTGTATTGATCACGTCTAAGTTGTCTTGCTTAGATCAGCTGAAGACTAAAATAAGCAGCAGTCTGTGTTTACTGAATGAGTGTGGTCTTTGAGATGTTACTGAATATGACAAGAAATTTTAAAGTTTGTTTCTAAAACAATATGCAGACTAGACAATAGCGATCTAAGGTAAAACAGGGTTTGCAAAATTGAAATGCATCTAGTCACTTCAAGAAGTGATATGTTCAGTGCTTTCTCCTCTTCATTTATAAGATAAGCTAGAATGCTATTTTCTCCAATTCAGGCTGAGTCTATTAGTAAATACCTAGAAATAGCAAATATAACTTAATCATAATTATCTTTCAAATTCATCTCAGTTACCTATCATGTAGATGAAATTACCTCCTGATGCACCAACTTTTTGGGAAAGGCATACTTGTCAGTTAATTACAGAATTAGAAAATTGCACTGCTGGAAGGGACCTTACTAATAAATGAACTTAAATAGTATGTAAGGTTTTGGAGGGGTCTCTCTCTCTCTTTTTTTAAGTATTTACTGAAATTTTTTTCTGCTTAGGAATAATATTAAATACTTTGCAGCAGAAATTTCTGTCAAAATATTATCATGTATAAGGCTGTCTTCCTCCATACCCATTCAGAATAAAACATGTTTTCTCTTTAGTGTTTTCTTGTTTTATTTCTTTTTTTCTTTTTGAATGTGCTTTTTAATCACCAAGAACATTAAATTCTGCTCTCTTTATCAGCTGAATTTTGCCTTTGCCCAACAGAGTCCTATTAGCTGGTTTACTCTTCCTTGAGTGTTAATTTTCCTCCTCTTTAATGAAAAGAATGAAATTAAGTCTTGAGCTTCCTTCCAGATTTAACAGCTTGTGGTATCAACTTTCTTGGATTAATACGGAAATAAAATTTCTAATTAATTATTCAGGTTTGGGGGTGAATTTTTGATAGTATATCCATGAGTAATTATATTTTACAAATGAATTTGATTTTCTTACTTTATTACTGAGTAAGACAAACTCACAGATCTGTAACAGCCCAGGTTGTCCCATTCCCATCCCTAGGATACTCAACTTTTTTGAGCTGGCTTTCTTACTTCAAGGCTGCTATTTCCAATAAAAAAATACAAAAAATAAAATGTATTTCTTTGCTCAATAATCTCTAGTGTTTCTCTGTATCTGTGGCCTAGTATTTAAATTCCACAGCAATACATGCCAAAGCAATGAGTGGTGCATGTTTTCATACTAATCTTTTCATGGTGCCATAAATGGTTATATGAGCTCTTTACTTTAAGCTTATGCTGCTGTCTTTGCCCTCTTGCTTTCAAGATCACTGTTACCATGACATTTTTGCTTGCCTAAATTATTTCCTCAGAAATAATTTTGAACAATGTTAACTTCCTCTCTAAGTTATTTAACACCTATTTGATATGCTTGGAATTTTTACTTTTTTATTTTGGTACTTTGTGACATTTTCCTCCTTTATTTTTTCATTAATGTTTTCTGATTTGCTATTTTCCTAACAAGTAATAGATTATAAGCTCTTACAGAACAAGAACCAAGTTGTTCTTGCTAATAATTCTGTAGGTGCTGAGCACAGTTCTTGGTGCGTTGTGGGTGCTCAGTAATACTTGTTGAATGAATGAAACAAATAGATACTATTTCCTACAATGTAAGCTAGAAAGTAACTGATCACGTGTGCCTAGAGGTTACTTGTGACTACATTGTCTCTGTGTTTAGTATCTGAATCATTATTGGCCTTTTCATTTAGCAAAAACAGATAAAATGAAGTAATTTAGGGATTTCTTTTTCTGTCCTTTTTTTTTTTTTTAAGTAAAGACATCTAAATACTTCACTTAATGATAGGCACATGTATGTGTCATGTCATTGAGAATGAAATCTTGCCATATACATCTTTATAACAAAAGGTAAATTTGTAAAAGAGGTTTCTCGAGATAGCCACTGCATTAGTTTACCTTACTGGTGAAATACTTTGTTGTTTTTATTTTTAATATTAGCCAGTCGTAAAAAGGCACATAATAAATTCTCAAATCTAGGTAATTCTGTGCATTTACATTTCTCAAGCAAATACTTTTCTTTATAAAGAATATTAGCCAGCCGGGCGGTGGTGGCGCACGCCTTTAATCCCAGCACTCGGGAGGCAGAGCCAGGCGGATCTCTGTGAGTTCGAGGCCAGCCTGCTCCAGGAAAGGCGCAAAGCTACACAGAGAAACCCTGTCTTGAAAAACCAAAAAAAAAAAAAAAAAAAAAAGAATATTAGCCTAGAACAAATGTTGTCTTTACTTCTATACTGTGGTTAGAGTTTGACAGTTTATACTAAGACTACAGATGTGCTTATTTCAGTTATATTTAGATGGTAACTTATTTAAA